ATAGAACGGCTGGGCTCTGGAATTCATTGCCTGAGGAAGTATTCCCAACAACATACAATCTCCAGAAGTTCAAAAAAAATCCAATACCTACCTCCCTATACCCTCCCTAGGAACGAACGATGTTCTTTGAACATTATAGGGATCTCCTTTCAGGCGCTCCAAGCGATAAAAAAATTCATTTCATCTGGGAATAGAGGTATTAACCTGTCTCACTTGAAAAAATCATAGACTTGTGAACCTCGCGATAGAAATGTCTTCTATACTTTCAAAAAGCTTCGTTTTTATTCAAATATAAATATACACACACAGAAGTGGTTATTTGAAAAATGTACAGAGCTCTGAAGAAAAAACGGTTAGCGACAGTGAACAAGTATGGGTTAGTACTTCGATAAGTACCTACCTCAAAATAATGAAATAAAATTCTTCACTGAAACAGGCTCATTGAAGAAGTCAAAGTCACTTACTAACCTATTCATAATGGGATCATCATAAATTTCATAGATGCATTGAAGTGAAGTAGGTAGTCGATCATCACAAAGAGATAATATTCAAATGAGAACATTATGCTCGGCTGCATTTGCATTGTGTTATATAATCATGTCGTCAATGATCACAGAGGTGGGTACTTAATTTGAACGAATAATTCATTTCATCTCCATTAGGTATTGTTGACCGAAATGTTTCCTGAGAAGTTTTCTGAAATGTTCTCATCCAATTTGAGGACAGCAATGTTTACGAAATCTCAGGTAAGAACATATTTATGAATATTTTTATTCAAAAGTTGCGTACCTATCTATGTATGTCCTTTACAGGGTGGCATTGAAATAAGTGCAAATATTCCAAGCCTTGAGTAAGCTCGACGTATATACTACCCAGTGGCACCAATAAACAAAATATAGGGATCAAAATAAAATTTGAGGTTAGACCCCTTTTTCCACCAAAAGTTCCACACTCTAGCAATTCTGACGTCACCTCTTAAATTTTCGTGAGGAAGGCACAATCACTCGGATTTCACTCATTCAAATTGATTTAAAGTGGCATACCTAATTTTTTTCTCGTTCTTTGTTCAATTTTCGGGATGAAATTTATTGTTGATCAGAAGAATTATATGATTATATGTACTTATTTCTAAAACACCTCGTATACATGGTGAGTCATAACTATGGGACATAGGCTAAGGGTGGATTGTTTGGACCAAATAATGACGTAGGATCAAATATGTCCTAATATTGCTGTGGAAATAGATACAGGGCGTTTCAATCGGAAAACTATTGACTATAAACTGACAAGAAATGTAATTCACCAGCAACAATTATCTGATGACAGTCCAAAGCACACTCCTCATAAATGAAGTAATATTTGAAATCCCCTTCCGAGACTTTCAACTGGTCAATTGCGTTTTTTCGAAAACGGATGGAAATATCGTTTTTAAACAATGGTTTTTATGTCATATTTTCTTATCAAAATCACTAAAAAGTTTCGTCAAAAAAAGTCACAAGCAGAAACCATTCACGTGACTGTCCCGTAATAAACTGAAGAATAATACATAAGATAAAATTACCTGTATAAAATCATGCCTCTGTGCCGATTTTGTTAACAATTGATCTACAGAGATATTATTTAGCAAAAAAGGCAAAAACGAATTAATCAACTTTAACGCCCTGTATCTTTTCCCACATCAATATTTTATTGAGGCATTTCCGTCCAATCGCCATATTTTGATGTTTGATCCAAACAATCCGCCTATAGCCATGTCCCAATAGTTATGACTCACCCTGTATATGAGATACATTGCATACATTTCTTATTCCAAGAAACTTGTAACTTCATGTATAACGTGTTTGAAATACTCAAAAACGAACTCCAAACAACCACTACATCCACATCCAATACCGGAACTTCCATGGGAAAAATAGGCATTGACTTTATGCAGTAGCAAAATAGGTTTCTTGACTCCATGTCAGCTCAAGAATATCTTAAAACCATTATAGCATCGTCATTGTATGAATTGGTTAGAAAAATCCAGAACGGTCTTCTTGTGCCCCCTTGGACTGCCTTATTCGAAAAATCACGAAATCAATTCGAGATATTGCGCAGAGCAATCGATCCAAATGAAGAATTTGTGTTTGGCATAGCATATGGTTATGGCAGCACCAAACTGAACAGACGATTTCACCAAATTCTGAACATTTCCCAAAAAAAAATTATTTTTTCTCCTGTTGAAGTAGTCGATGATTTCAACGCAATATGAATCCATTTCTAGGATGTGTTCGATCGTATAGAGTGGAAAGATACGTAGAATGTGGCTTGCATAATTTCAAAATCGGAAATGATGCCATAAATACCTAAAAATGAAAAATTATCGATTTTCAACATCCTGTATGACAAATATGCAAAATTACAAAACCGTTTCGAGATAATAGCTTGAACGTTCGGAAAAAACGATTAATAGAAAAATAAAAAAAAATCCCTGGAATACGGAAGCGTTTGAATTTTTTCCTTTTTGTTATACTGTTTTCGAACTCTTGATGTATAATGACAGAAAAACTCCCGACGAGTTCTGAACGGGGAAACAGAAAGATCGCATCTTCCAAGCACTGCATTTCGATTGACAATCCATTCATTTTCTAAAAAGAAATGGCAGTTTGGAAATTGTCAAATATTTCAGTGGTCCACTTGTTACTTTGAGCACATATTGTGCGAACGGATGATGGGGGTGTCTACCGCAGAATTAGAATCAATATTTGACCAGCCCACTCAAATTCGAAGGAATCACCTACCATGCAAGAAGGGTCAACTCAGCTTCCTGAAGAAGAGATGAAAACAAACGGATACCGCTTTACCTAACGTTCAGGTTTGTCGCTACCGAACCTCAAGAAGTATATAAACCAGAGGACGAGTAATTAAACCACCATCCCGATTTGGGATTGGGAGTTACGTTACTTGGTGACTTGGAGTATACTTGTCATGAGTATTAATGATAATTTGCTTATTATTCGCCTGTTTTTTATCTATCTATTTGTTTTGTACTTCCATTTGGTCCCTTTTTAAAAGGGGACATGTCAGGGACATGTATCATGAGTAGGTCTAGCCCTGTATTGACAATGAAGGAATATTAAGGAATGTCAGTATAAATTGAAAATACCTCCTCGCACTAGGTCGCCTACTAGGTTTTCATTTAGATCGACAATGATTGATATGATGATCATGTCACAATAAATATTATACTTCAAACTATAAGAGTTATTCTGGTATAAGAAACCAATAATACAATTATATTCCTTTATTTATCGAAAATTTATATAAAATAAAGTGTATGAATACAACAATCATTGTGATGGCTGTCAACATACATGATCGCTTCAAAAATACTATTTTCCACAAAGACTATTCTGAATGAGTACCTTTATATTTTAAAATTCTGAATAAATTATTCTTGCTTTTGGGTGTATGATAAATTGACATTCATCATACAGGGCGTGGAAATGAATTCTGAATTGAGACTCTATCACGAATCTGCGATTAGAGGTCTATAAAAATCACAAGTTTCCATCGTTCAAGTTTGAACCCCCTGATTGGGTATGAAAGTGTTGAAAAGGAATATTCTCAGATATTGATTATTGATTATTCCAATCCTTTCACAATAAACGTTTTTGATTGGTTGAAATATCTTCCAAGTTGCTGTGCTTCTTCGAGACAGATGTCACTGATCGTTTTTAAATTGCTCAAAAAAAAGTGTTGATATAGTTATTTATGTATTAAGGGAATTACGAGGGCCTTAATTACCGATGGCAAAGTTTGCGTCCCGAGGGCCTCTGTCATCAGAACGTCAGATGATGATCTTGACTACCGCGAATAGGAGATTCCTTATTGCTACGTTATTACGTGGTTGTTGCTATGCATTTCTTATTTAATTTTAGCTAGAGGGAATTATAGCATCTATAACATCCCAAGGGAGTTATGACCCTCATTATAGATATCGTAACTATGACGATATAAGCTTATAATGTCACTGTCAGAAATAAAATATTCAAGTAGTCCGTAAAACAAAAATTGCATAATCATGAATAATGTGTGCAAAGGTGACAACTGACAAGCTATATTGCACACAGATTATATCATGATGTCTACAATTTTTTTGGAAACTGTGAATCGATGGACATTTTTTAAATTATTGTGCCAAGAAAGTGAAAGGTGTGAGGAGAAAGTCCTATAGGAAGTGCGACCAGAGATGACATGAAATTTAGGCAATAATTATTATCGAATTGATTTTTAACGAACTATATAGCTATCGACTAATAATCAAGTGAAAGTTATCAACAGCGCCACGATATGAAACTCCACCCAATTAAATCATATACAGTCAGCAGACGCCCATTTTTCTCTTGATTCCGTATCATCAATTCATTTTATTCAAATAGATGCCTCATGAATAACGAAATAAATCACCTACTAAGTCTGGCATGTATGTTCATGAAATAAATTACAAATAGAAATGAGAAAGTGGCCAAATGTGCAGATGACTTCATCATTCCTGATCAACATAACAACCACAACCATTCGGTGACTGCCGAATTTCTATTTGTTAGCGGAATAGAAATCCTCCATGCACGTAGTCTCAAAAATGCAAATATTTATCTATCAATTTCATTATTTTGTACCTATTATAAGACCACAAATGTGTCCAGGTGTTAAACCAATAAAATAAATTTCTTCACAACATTCCACCTTTAACTCAGGATGAATACAAACATCCTTCTGGATACTTGGATAGTTCTCAATGAAACTCTCTCTAATAAAAAATACATTTATTTGTCACCGTACGAACTAAAACTGTACAAAAAACAAAGATAACAAAAACTTAAACTAACATTCATGAGCTATGTACACTGCAACGTATCTCAGAGATATCACACCTCAAAGTCTTCAGCGCAACCAGGGAACCCTACTAATTTCTAGAGGCTCCTAGTCGTACCCGTATATATGGCCACCTCGACACTTTAGTACGGTCCACCACTAACGTGTCCAGGAGGTCCATAGCTGGTAGAGATTCCAGAAGAGCCATGACTCGAGTGACCACTGTGGTACGAGCTTGAGCTAGAGCTTCCAGAGCTGAAGGAAGAAGAACCAGATGAGCCAGATAAGTGACCACCAGAAAGGGAACCAGAGAGAGAACCAGCGTCCAGAGAACCACCGTCCAGAGATCCGCCTAGAGATAACCCACCGCCAAGGGAGCCACTAAGAGATCCACCGCTGAGAGATCCGCCCAAAGAACCACCTCCGATAGATCCACCAGTAGAGAATCCACCACCAGACTCCTTTTGGGTCTTGTAACGGATGAAGTATACTTCTGGTTTGGAAGGCTGGGTAGGGATAGCAGTAGGGATGGAAATCTCCGGTTGATCTTCTGGTTTCTTGACCAACACGTACACGAGGGTCTTTTCCTCGTTCTGGGCCTGGAGAGGAATGGACGGGACAGTCGGAGTAGGCGGAGAAGGAGCCTTGATGAAGATTATCTTGTAGTGTTTCTGTGGGGCGGCTACGGAGATTTGTCTCTGTGGATGGTACTCTTCTGGCTCTGGTGGGGGCACGTGGACGTAGATGTGTTTCTGGACAACCTGGCCGCCGCTGGATAAGCCTGAGCTGAACCCGCTGGAGCCGAAGCTTCCGCTTGAGCCGAAGCTTCCACCTGAGCCGAAGCTTCCGCTTGAGCCGAAGCCTCCGCTTGATCCGAAACCGCCGCTAGAGCCGATGAAGCCTCCGGAGCTGTGACCACCGGATCCGAAGCCTGATGAGAATGCTGAAGAGCCGGAAGAGCCTGAGGAGAATCCTCCTAGACCTAGGCTTCCGCCTCCGTGGCTAAAGCTTCCGCCTCCGTGGCTTAGGCTTCCGCCGCCGTGACCTAAGCTACCGCCTCCGAAAGAAAGACCATGGCCATGACTTCCTGAGCTACTGAAGCTGAGGCCACTTCCAAAGCTGCCACCTCCTAGGCCACCTCCGAGGCCTATCGAAGGGGCGGGATAACTGTAGCCACTCGGTGGTTCTGGGCGAGCTTGGGTTAGGGCTACCAAAGTAGCGATGATCTGGAAATTAATGTGTGTTGAAGTTAGGCGATGTTCATTTGGGAAGTCATCTAGGCAAGAATTGAAGAATGTATTTTCTTTCCTCAGTGGCAGAATATTTTTCAAAATGAGAGAAAAAACTATTATTGTCAGTGACGAATTTGTATATTCCTGGGGGAGTATAATATTATGATCTTGAAAACCCGTTTATACCCTATTTTTACATTATAACTATGATTTTACGATGGGATCAACATTTTAAAAAACTGTTTCACCTCCATCAACTTCTGAATTAGGCTGAAGATAGACTTTTATCAGCTCGAAACACGTCCCTTCGATTGATTTACATCATCAAAAGTGTGGAGATGTCATTGAACAGTCCTTCATCCTTTTGAAATATTATAAATAATAAAACCTATACCTTATACCTGGTCCACATGCATCGAAGAAAACATATAAAGAAATCTCAAGATGGACAGGAGAAAAAAATATCATTGTAATCTCTTTATGATTATTTGTAACAGTAATCTACATACTCATATTTTGTTCCGATCAAAAATATATCACGAGATATATTATTTATTAAATACTGTCTGTTGGTTGATCGAGGAGGTGGTACATTTATTTTACTCGATTTTTTGGGATTTTCTCTCCTCGTTTCTATAAAATAAAAATATGCGTATTTTTTCAATATATTTAAGTGGGACAAATCAGATGATTTGCCCCAAAATAACACTGCGTTTAACAAATTTTTCTATCGGGGAGCCTAAAAGATAAATCCAGTAGCTTGTCAGTGAAAATTTGTTTGAAAAAATGTTTGAAGGATAGAAAAATAGATATATTGGAAAAAAATCGAATTTTTACTTATCTTTGGACGTTTCGAAACCGAATCTGCTCCGTTCTCATCATCTTGAAAATGCAAAATATTTCTCTTTTGAAGTTGTGCTGCTTATAGTTTGACACTTTTCAGTGTCATACTGATGTTGGCATATGAATGAGTGATTTTAATCTACAAATGAGTCACAGGATGTTTTCATTAATTGATCTTGAATCTACCATTTTCATGTTCAGTTTTTAGTAGTGAATACCATGTTCTATATATATCAACTGAACAGGAACCAATGCTATTGTCTCCGTCATATTTTTATTTTATAGAAACAAGGAGAGAAAATCCCAAAAAATCAAGTAAAATGTATATTATTTATATTGAAAAGTAAACATTAGAATATGTTCAGAATCAAAAAAGCAGCTTAGGATTCTTAGGAATAATGTACACATAGGGTTGCCAGAAGAATCATCTTTTTAGTAGGTAAAAGTAACATTTTGAAAATTGACACCATATCATTCTCCAGGAGCTTGATGATTTTTCATACAGTAGGTAATATTTTTTCCGTACTTTTCAAATTGTTCATAATTCAAGTTATTGACTCAAGTTATTTTTAGGTAGCTGTGACACCTAAAAAAAATGTTTGCCTCGGTTTCTTTCTATGATAAAAATTCAAATCATGCCAATTTAGGTCATGATAAGTGGTTTGTTCATTAGTTATATTTTATTAGGTTGCTTGACGAGAATTCGGTCAATAACGTCACAGTATCGCCATATTGATTTTTGAAAAAATGTGTCTTGCGCCGCCATTTCAATATCAAGAGTCTAACTAAAAAACAACTGTACAACGCCTTTTATATGGATTTATCCTTGCCAAAGAGATTCTTTATCATAATGATAGTTATACTAATGAAGTATACTGCAGATACGATTCAACAGGGATGTTTTGGAAAATTAAAAATAACCGAATGATCACTAACACTGTCACTTTTCACTGATTTCACAATTTCTCTCAAACAACAAAAACCCCTGTACTTACCACGATCGGCCTCATGTCGTTGTCTCGAGTAACCCGGTCCGTTACCCAAGGGAAGAAGACGTCGAGGAATGTTTGTCGGTGGTTTCAAGTTCATCTGCGACTTTATACCCTCCTTCTGGTCCCCCCCAAGAAGCGGTTCGGAAGTCGGAGATATGAGATACCAGATACCGATTCTCGCATGGTAAAATTCGGCCCATGGAAAAATCGGGTCACATCCTCTCACCGCCGGCGGTGGCTGCCCGATTATTGCGGATCTGTATCAGCGGTACACGTCTGCCCCGAGAATTCGGTAATCTTCGAGATCATTTTGGCCTCCGGAAGGCACAATTTTTTTTTTCGGTTTTTTCTTTTCAACGATCAATACATGTTTAATGAGGGCTAACATATTTTGACCGAGACGTGAGCCTGTAGGTTTACTTCTTCTTTTCGTTTCGTTGGTAACATAATTATCTTCTTTCAATATGCATTTAATTGCATTTCTTTCGTGTTTTTGAATGTATGATAAATTGATATTCATCGTACAGCACGTGAAAAGAAATTCTGAATTGAGAAAACCTAACCACGAATCTGCGATTGAGGTCTATAAAAATAGCAAATTTCGATAGTCCAAGTTTTAACCCCTTGATTGGGTGAAAGTATTGAAAAAGCATATTCTGAGATATATTTATGAACAGAAAGAAATTGATATATATATATGAAGAAATACATTGAGAATTCGCATTCTTCATGTGATGAAAATATTAATTCTTTCTCGGTTTATTCAACATCAGAAAACAACTACTTTCCTGGCTACATACCACGACGAACATTGAATTATATATCTATTGAACACACACGATAAGAATTTTAGAACAAAATCATGAAGAGGTTGAGAAATCAAAATCCTCTGAAATTGAGAATTGACATTATCTCTCAAATGTATTATACTTCAGAAGATTTTGTTTTAAAATTGTTGTCCTGTGTGTTCAATAGATATAATTCAATGTTCGTCGTGTCATATAGCCAGGAAAACATGGAGAATGCGAATTCTCAATGTACCTACTTCTTTATATATACGCATATCCATTTTTTTGTGTTCATAAATATATCTGAGAATATTCCTTTTCGATCAATAGATGTTTAATGAGGGCTATCTATCTGTTTACTTAGATCACGCCATGTTTTCAGAACATTTTCGAAAAACAGACTTCAACCTTCAGGGCTTTCCGATAAAATTTTGATACTTTAGTAGCGCCAACTGGTGAGACTGAAAATGTTAGCCCTCATTGAATGAGTTTTTTGTCATTGCAAACAATCAAGAAACAATGGAGTGAAAAAATTGAGAGAACTCGCTCGAGCGATTTTTTCTACTTTCGAATTCGATGTTTTTAGCCGAATGAAAATAAAATTTCAATACTTTCTTCACTGAATTCAGACTTTTTTCTAAGAATTCAGACTTTTTTCTATAAATTCAGATTTAACTTTCATATACGAGTATTCCAAAAATTGACGGTAGTTCGGTAACTTCAGGAACGGATTTGGTCGTCAGGCAAAAAAATGCCTGTAGGAACCTTTATTTCTTCTGCAAGGAATACGTGCTGATGGTTTGTGGGCCTTTACTTTTGGAACACCCTGTTCACACATACACATATAAAATAAGTCTGAAAAAAAAGGGAATTTAGCGAAAAAAGTCTGAATTCTGAGAGAAAATCCATTGGAAAAAGTCAGAATTCTGAAAAATTAATCCGGAATTCTACGAAAGCGTAAAAAGAATACTATTGTATGCAATCTATTTTATCTTCGAATTAAGAATTTTTTCTCTGAATTCAGAGTTTTTTCTCTAAATTCAGACTTTCTTGTCTGAATCCAGACTCCTTGTATAGGTGTTAACACGGTGTTCCAAAAGTCACGCCAGAAAATCAGGAGCGCGTATTCTTTGCAGAAGAAATATAGATTCCTTATACAGACATTTTTTTGCAGGACGACCCTTCGCTTCCATGATTCCATTGTGCAACTCCTGAAACACATTCTGTTTTATAGCTGTTAAACTGTAACATTTAATTATGGTACATCCTCAACTCACTTTCCATTCATAATCTCACCAGCGTCGGAACATAATATCATCAGTAATAAAATATCCATGCAATTGACAAATAATTATCTTAGACAACATTTTCAACGACAGTCCTTATCAAACAAAATGCGATCCTTAAATTGCACCCTGTATAGTAAAAGAAGCGTCGTAATTCCTTCATACTGTAGGTATACACATATGAAAGAAAAATCTGAACTCTGAGAAGAAAATCTGAATTCAGGGAAGAAAGAAGAAAGTCTATATTTTAGAAAAAAATAACTATTCAATAATGTGCCAGTTCCAATCATATATTTTATTTCATTATTTTGAAGTACCAACCCAAACTAGTTCACTGTCATAAACTGTTTTCTTTTTGGGGCTCTATACATTCCGTGAATCATTATGGAAATTAAAGATATTTAATGTTATGAAATATTCATATTATGATTTATTCATCTATACTATATGTCCGATTCACGTCCGAGTGTAGAAGTACCTTAGAAAATATGGCAAAAACTAGGAAAGTCAGCCTCATGTGGGTTCCAGGACACTCTGGTATCCCGGGAAACGAGGAGGCAGACAGACTAGCCAAGATCGGTTCAGGAACGACACCCATTAGACCAGAACCGATATTGGGAATACCCAATAGTAGTCCTTCATGAAGGAAATGCTACAGAGGCAGTTCCTTGAAACATGGCGGGACACACCAGGACAATCAAAGCTCCATATAAAGGAACCTTCAAAAAGGCTCACGAGAGAGATCCTGTCACTTAATAGAAGGGATCTCAAGATGGTAGTTGGGCTCTTAACTGGGCACAACCACCTCAATAGGCACCTAGAACTCATAGGGATCAAAGATGATCCCATCTGCAGGTGGTGCTTGGAGGATGATGAAACATCATCTCACATACTCACTGAATGCCCCGCGCTGGTGCATCAGAGGAAAGCTGCCTTTCGGAGCATTGCACTGCACCCAAAGGATGTGAAAGCGACTCAGCTGAGGAAGCTGCTGAATTTCGTCAAAGAAATCGGCATGCCCAGCTGAGTCACAGGACAAGTGGGCGCACAATGGGCCCGACTAAAGAGGCCTGAGTGCAGGGGTCTACGCACCCGCCCACCTGTGCAGAGAAGAAGAAGAATAAGATGTCTGATTCACAAATTGAATCTATGATAAGTATCATCTCTAGGAGAATGATGATTTTGACAATAGTTAGTCAATAATTATTTGTTCATCATCAAAAAAGAAACACATAATTATTTCATCAAACTCCCAAGTTGAAATAAAAAATTAAGGATTTTCTTAATTAATAACATGAAGTGAATGTATATTGACCTCAAATCTCATGCACTACTTGAAGTAAAATTAATATTTCCTAAAATATACATTGAAAATTAATTTTCGTAGACAGTCAAACGGGAGAAGAGAAACTTCTAGTACCTATTCCCATGTCGAAGATGATGCCATGAATAATGACAACAACTGGTGAAGCTACAGTCAATAGAAAAAGGTATCGTCAATGAAATCGGCAACAACCCAACTTTTTTATCTATCATCTTCAGTTCATATATCTCCTTGAATCCGTGAAGACAATCTGACAAGATAAACAATTGAAAAGGCAACACAATATAGCTATGAGCTTCTCGAATACATGTTATCAAAAATTCAGTGAAAGTTTATTCATTCGATTGTAATGTAATTTCGCAAATTAAGGGATTATCTTCAGACTAAAGGATGTTCGCCAAATGGAGGATGGGCAGTGGTCAGCACCAGAAGAAAGTGATGTCCAGTTGCTCGGAAGTGTCGGCGTTAGTCCAGGCAATTGTGAGGCAATTGGAATTTGAACTTCGACACTAACTTGACAATAAAACACGAAAGGATGTTTTCACTCACTCCACTGCCTAGTTTTCATAATGTAATCCATTCGAGAATCCATTAGTGCGGTAGGAAAAAGTAATGTATTTCTCTCGTATCCATGTTTGTTTTACTTTGAATATCATTAAACAGGGTGTTTTTACCCATGAAAACAATCGATCCTATAATGGACACAAAAACGATAGTTCATAGAATAATTGATAGCTTGTAGTACAGGTCGCCACGTACATTTTTAGCTCAAAATTTCTCTTTTGTCGAAAGAAATATTGATAAAATTGAATAAAGAGTTGAAGGGGTTTCAGCAACAAAGGTTCACGAAGGATTGAGAACAAGAATTAAACCAGAACGTTAGTGTCTACATAGAAAGTACAATAAATTTGAAATATTCATTTAGATATGATGCCATGATGTAATAGGGCTATTGAAATATTGAGCACATATTGTCCTAATAAAATTATATCTATGATCGGCGCATCTTCAATAAAATAGTGCAAACTTGTGTAGAACCAACGAAAATGTGTTCTCAGTCATCATGTCAAGAAATTTGAATTATCATTATTACGAACTATTTAATAATTATTATTTCAGAAATATAATAATAGAGAACATGTCAAAATTGGTTGGGTGCTTCTAAAAAGTAGATCACTTCATTCATTTTTTTCCGCTTTTCTTATCAGATTGAAAATCAGATTCATGTACAAAATTCTAAACGTGTGAAAAAGTCCATACTGCTCAAAGTGGAGCGGTAGTATTTGAATAGAAAATAAATTCCAAAGTCATCTCCACGACATTTACTAGTTGAACATGGTTCTGTTAAACTATTTGGAGAACATGTTTCGGGCTTATAAAAAGCCCATCATCAGCCAAAAGGTTCTATAACGTCATGAGGATGAAAAAAAAACTGTTCTTAAAAGTTGTGAAACATATTCCATAGGAATTTCAATTGAAGAAGGTCCTGTCTCTGAGATAATCTCAGGAGATTTTCATGAGGTAAAATACAAAGTTTTCGACGATTTTTTGAAAAATCCACATGCATGGGTATGCATGAGTGCACTGTACAAAATTCTGTTATACCGGGTGTTTCTACATAAAAGAAGGTGCCTGCTTTTTTTGGAAACGGACCTGGATTCTGATATATGGATTATACCTATCCAGTATGAACAGATTATATATAGTATATAAACTGCTCAACACATGAAACGTAAAATCGCATTTTTTTGATCAAATTTGAATCATCATATCTTTCGATTTCCACAACCGATTTTCAATTCTTTCTCAGTTTCTGAAAGCTCGTTTCATTGACTATCGATCAGTATATGTTTTCACATATGAAGCAATATGTTTTTGACCCCAAAAAAAAATAAAGAAAAAATTCTTTCAAACGAGAGGCGTTTGAATTTTTTGGAGAAATCCACAGCTTTGATTATCATCCTGTAGAATCTCATACGGAAAAGATGAAATAGT